GTGTTGCGTGTGGGACATCCAGGGTGATCCAGAGTGCGAACAGCGAGTTGTGTGGGCGCTCAGTCGCCATAGCCAGTTTGAAGAGAACTCTTATGCGGATACGATATCTTGAGTACTGAGTGGGCGCCTGTCGCCAATTTGCTGTTTCGCTGTTTGCATACATGACAAGTTGAATAATCGTAAGTGTGATTTCAAAACGGCAGTCAGCACAATATATATGGCTCCCCGGCAGCAAAAAAACACCTGACCTGCCTGTTCCAAAAATCCCCGCCGTTTTCTTATTGCCTTTTCGAACTCGGTGCATGACTGACTGACCTGCTGGAATGTGTTTTTTTATTTATTTATTTATTTGCCCATTTGAAACTCGATCGTGACCGAAAAGTGCTTGCCGCTGAAAACAAACAAACAAACAAACAAAGATATGACAAGAGTACATTGTGCTTTGGGGGACGATGGTAGCGTTCTCCAGCATTCATGCCTGTCTTCTATCAACCAAGGGACATGCTTAGGGCCTCGCCGCACGGTGCAAGAAACGAAAAAAAAAATGACTTCGTTTCGTGAAGTCGTCGCCGCATAGCACCCACATGACCTGTGCCAGAAAAAACTCGTGAATGCTGTCAGCCTCGAAGTTCGCGAGGCCTCACGAGTGTGCCTACTCCTTCCTGCCTGCAGCCCTCGCGAACTCGTAGGTCCTCCGCTGGTAGGCTGGAGGAGCTGCAAAATCTCACGAGTGTGCTGCATTTCCAACCGAAGTCCATCCAAGAACTTGGACTGTAGCGTCCACAAATTTGGACGGTAGCTAAACGAATCCGCACTACTCTCGCCAGGGCGTTGTCGCGAGAGGTTTCGTGTGTGCTGTGGGGCGGTGAGGCAAAAAACGAAGCGAAACGGTAGATCAGGGCTTTGCGAGGCCTCACGACTCTGGTGATCGTTTCGTTTCGTTAGTTGTGCCGTCCGGCGAGGCCCTTAGACTCGGTGTGTGTTTGAAATTCTCTCTGAATGGTAAGCACACTTAACTGTCGATAACAAGATCATGAGTTCAAATCCTGCGGTCACAGATACACAAAAAGAGTAGGGTGGAGATACCCAAGTTTAAAAAGAGGGGGTGGCTGCTGTTTGTCGGCCAAGCCGAAGCCGGGGAATGGCCACTAATGGTTAATAGGTGGTGTCATTTACCGTGAATTTTTCACCGAAACCGCCATATTTCCCCCTGAATTTTTATTTATTTTTTATTTTTTCCTTGCTCCGTCCCCTTCCCCCCCTCCCTCTCTGTGATATGCATGTGCTGTAGCATATATCTTATGAGCCTGCATTGTTTGTTCGCAAAATTTTCGACGACGTTGCTTGTGGTGATTCGGTGAAAACCCCCAAAATTTGGGCCTTCCATTAACCATCTCTCATAATGGCCCCAGTCATTCCGCGGGTTGAATTGTGAGGTCACTGGCCTCGAGGTTCGAGTTCCGAAATGACATTGTCTCCTCTTTTTTTTTTTTTTTTTTTTTTTTTTTTGAAATACAAGGGGAGAAAATAGGGATAATTTGTGAAATAACCCCATAAGTTGATATATATGCCAAAATGCCCCTGAAAGATGTGGGTAGAGCGGAATGCCCTTTCGGGCCGAAACCTTTGTGCTATGCCCTTGTGAGGCAAAAATTCAAGCCGGCCTTAAGTGAGGGCCGGCGAATGATCAAGGGCCGCAGGTTGGCCCGAAGCAGCCAAACTCTGCAACTAGCCAGTAGGCCCAGCCCACCAGGCAGTTGTAGAGGCTGGGGCTGCGCTGGGTCCGCATGCCAACCCAGTAGGCCCCAGGCATTGTCTAATGGGACAGGAATGATCCTGGGGACGGCCTCACCAGTCAGCACAAAAGAGAGGAGCCCTCCTTGCCAAGACACATCTGGCCTTTTTTGGCATCACGGCCATGCTGCGCGTGTCGGAGCTGAGCGCTGATGCCCGAGGAAGGAGATGCTGCTGCCGTGGCAACGAGACAGGAGAAGCGTCAGTCATAATTGGCTGGGCGCTGACATTGCTAGGTGGTGGAAGTGTGGAGTTCGGCAGGAGTAGAGGAAGGCAGAGGGGAGAGCACACACTTACATGATGTTGACGAGGAAGGCCTGTGTGAAACAGTGTCTTCAAGCAGCAGTGGGCAATCTACATGTGGACACGAGCGGCATGTAGATAGACTAGGCTGATAGGAGTGTAGGAAATAGGAAGGGCAGTCAGGCCACCAATTGGAGTACTACAATGGAGGTGGGGGAAGAAGAAAGAAAGGGAAGGAAACCAAGGTAAGTCCTGAACGTTACACATCTTCAAAAAACAAAAAAAAAAAACAAAAAAAAAAAAGTTACACACCTTTTGCACCTCGGGTGACGACATGTTGCTGCAGAAGGCCGGTGCTGTCTCTGAAGAATAGCTTGCACAGGTCAGATTGCAGAAGTCCACACCTTTAAAGCCGCTATAGTCGAACTCACTGAAGGGGTCAAGAGGCTGCCCATTTAAAGGGACCCTACAACCCCCTTTACAGTATTTCTCTGGGGTATGCACACCCCTGTGATAGTCCGGATCGCCGCAACCAAAGCCACATTTCTGAGGTCTGTTATTTTCATCGGCTGTGCACATCAGAGTGTAGTGCGTCCACTCCGTACCTGTCCAGAGAAGTACCTGCAATGCCATGTACCGTCATCATTTGATCCAGCCGAAAAAAAAAAAGACAAAAAAAAGCATTGCTTCAACAAAGCCTTTCTCAGTTCGTTACCCCAGTCCTCTTCCCTTCTGTCAGCCCTTCCCGGGACCAGGTCCCACCACCCCGGACGATTCATTTCCGACCGCTAATTACGAAGATCAACGGTCAGATATCAGTAACCTGCACAAGTCCGACCTCGCCCCCCAGCGCCGTCCCTGCTATGTGTTTGGTAACTGTCAAGAACATCCGGGTACTCCAAACAAAAAGGAAAAAAAAAGGAAAAAAAAAGGAAAAAAAAAAGAAAAAAAAAGAACATCCGGGTAGTCATTGCACCTATTGCGCTCGTCAAATTGTCAGAGCTGATGTCAACACAAAAGCTGTGAATGGTGATGTCACTACCAAGAAGTTTTTTTTTTTTTTTTTCGTAGTAGTTCTTACTAATATACTATACTAGCTACGTGCCTGCGGTGCGAGCGGTGCGGGATACGCCCGCAGAAATAACAAATGCAGTGCGTGACCTCACACTGCATTTCGGATGGCTCGCCTCCAAGATGCTCATCCGCAAAAAAAAA